TGCAGTGGGTAGGATAGACATGTATGTGAGGAAAACCATTGCGGCAAGGAGGAGCCTCATTGTTTAGCTCTGCAACTACTCCGACATGGAAGAGGAAAAGAGACATGAAGGTAAATGCCGCATAATTGTTGGCTATGCTGGGAGGCAAAGCCAGCGCTTCTGCCGGTGACATCAAGAAAATCCTTTCTTCTATTGGTGCATAGGCTGATGATAGTAAGCTTGAGTTGCTCATGTCTCAAGTCGAGGGGATAGATAGCACTGAGTTGATTGCAGCTGCAAGGGAGAAATTAGCTTTCGTACCAATAAGAAGTGGTGGTGGTGGTGTGGCAGCCAATGTTGTTGCACCTTCCGGTGGCGGTGTTGCTGCCCGAACTGCTGAAGAGAAGAAAAAGGAAGAGAAGGTTGAAAACGAATCTGACGATGATATTGGCTTTGATATTTTTGGAGGAGATGATTAGAGTTGTTTTATTTCTATATGCATGTTTGTTTTGATAATACTATCAAGTTTTAGAATCCTTTCATGTTTTTTCCTCTACAATGAACGCTTCTAAATCTTTTTTTTCCTATTGTGGTATCACAATAGCTGAAACATGAACCTAGCACCTCCATCTTTTCATTTCCCTTTCAAGCCTTTTTTTAAAACAATTATTATTAGAACACCAGATTGCTTATTTAAAAAAAAAAAAAGATACTCCGTATTCAAAAATGGAATCTGGATTTATCTCAGTATACTGTGATGAGTAACAATGATACGGTGAAGGAGATTGAAAAGTTGGAATTGTTGGAGAGTTTGATAATAAGGATAAAATGAATGAAAATTGGAAGGATTTTTCTACGGTGCCTTCCTAAATAAATGAGGTACCGGTACCCAATGTTTTTTAGCCAATCATATAGTATTATGAGATTAGCTAAAAACATTGGATACCGGTACCTCATTTATTTAGGACGGTACCATAGAAAACCCCTTGAAAATTTTATTGTGCTTTAAAGCTACATTTATGGTTAGAAGGATAAGAAGTGTATGGTAAAAATTCCTGATAATTTTTAGGGTAAGCTAGGTTCATATTGTTGAGAATTAAATTATTTAATTGAGTATGCTACTAGTATTAAGTTTTTACCACTCTCATGGCGTATACTACCGTGATCTAGAGAGCAAGATTGGTCTCTCATATGATGTGATTCTAATTCGTTGCCAAACGAGTGACTGTACAGTTCTCTCACCGTGCTAATCTCTTACTGGGTGATAATAAAGCGTATGTGTATGAATGTGTGCTAGAAAAATTTAGATATATCATAAATTATTCTATAAACAATTATAATCCTAGTAGCTATTCCAGGGATATTCAGGTTATAAACAATAGCAATTAACTTATTCATGCACAAATTAAATAAGAACCATGCAATTACACTGTCAAGAATGAAACCCTAGATCATAAGAGTGTCAACCACTTCATCATTCTCAAATCCCTAAATAAAACTACTTCATTTTTTTAATCTGGAAGGCAAACCACCCATATTAATAATTGAATGAGCAATAACATTGAGAAGAAAAGATTTACTTATCACTAATTTTTTTACTTTTTTTCTTTTTCTTGTTTTTTTTTTATTTTTTTATCTTATCATTAATAGAATGAAATTAGTTACAAACAAACCTCAGAATTCAGTTGATTCAGAGCTAAAAACAACGAAGAACTCTTCCAAGACTTGTTTATAAACTTTGTTACCTACAAAATGGGTTTTAAATCACCTTTGAAAAGGAAAAATTCGAGTTTAGGCCGACCTTGGTCATGTATTGTCATTCGCAAGACGTGTGCAATCCGTGTGTGACCCACAAAAAATCAACGTGCCTTCTCTTTGCGGGCGCCGTTGTGTGCGTGATTGTGCGCGTATTTGTTTTACCTTTCGAATTTGGGTATGAGTTCTTCATTGAATTGTACGTATTTAATGAAGTTCTCTATCTACCCCCGATTTGAATTACTTGATTTGGATCATCCAATCAAAAGATATGACTAGAACAATGAAATGTGTTCATCCTAAAATCTCAATAGCGATTGTTTGTCTTCCACATATAATTTCACCTTGATTCTTGCATAGTTGTCATTGTGTCTTCATAATATTTGTACCTCATTTCGTATTTCTCATGTGAACCTTGAATGGTTTCATTTTTATTTGTCTACGAAGATATATGCTCAAATGATAGACATGCATGACGTCATCCAAATTCAAGATTGTGAGTTAAGCGGTGGTATAAGCAGTAGCTATTTTCTGTACTCTAACTCTCCTTCGTCTTCAAATCCTACCTTGAGTTAATTTTCCGCTAAAACCTAATAATAGTCCTTCAAAAAATGCAAACACCACTATAAGACATGATCAATCAAATCTTAACAAATGACTTTGGATGTGTACAAATGAATTTAGTACTCCCTCCGTCCCTGAATGTTCTTCCGATTGCGGATTACGAAGGTTGACCGACGATAAAGTTAAATGATCCCTGTGAAAACTCGGATTATTTTTAGTAAATAAAATTTACATATTCAGAAACTACATTAAACCCGCTACAAAGCCTGCACAAAAAATATCAATTTTCATAAAGTTTTGATACAAAAAGTAAGAGTTTAAGAGTGATTTAAGTTGACTCTCGAAAAGCGAAATGGAAGTAAATTTAGGGACAGAGGGAGTAATAATTATTATAAGACATAATAATGCAAGGGATTTTGTTAGTAATGTGTACAAATGACTTTCTCTCACATATTAAAGTGTGTTAGAATAAGGACTGATCAGAAGCCGACCTACCAGCAAACTGAGGGAGTTGACTTGCTAGCCCAACAAAGAGCCGCCCTACAAGCCCCGCACAAAGTCAACCACACACTTCAATGTGACGTGACCTTCCACTCCGAGTAGCCTACATACTAGCCCAACAAGGGAGCAATTAATGGTTACATTTGTTAATGCCTATAAAAGGCCAACAAATTTATTTGTACATACACAACAATCCACATACTAAACTCGCTTCATTGAGCACATAATGCTCTGATGCTTTTGTTTTTCCGTACTTCAAATTTCTATCATAGTGATGGATATCCGACCTGGGCGGTCTACGGAATCCGGGAAATGGAGAGACTGAAAAGTGTTAAGTAAGATAGTGTGGAAATTTCGGTAGAGTAACCACAAGTTCTTACAACAAAGTTCGGATCCTTTTCCACACGTTGGAATGTGATATTTATAAGGAGAAAATATTTGGCCAACAAGTAAAAAGATGATATTCTATTGTGATGAGGACACGTGTCCCATTTGGCTAACAAGAATAAGAGTATGAGTTTAATAGTGTGGTGACACGTGTAAAGTTGATTGGAGAGATATCTTGGACAACTCATTGATTGGTATTGTGTGTAACAAAATTGTCTTTTGTATACCAGAATGCACATGCACGCCACACGTGTGCTATTTGGAGTATTCTTATGAAGCAAGCGTCAAGGTGACGTGGCAGTAGTCCCGTGTAGTGTCTGGTTGTTGAAATGTCTAAGTCCATAATCGATTAACGAGGTCCAGAGCTCATCGGGTGAGGTTGAGCTCGGATATAATGTGTTTATTACAGAGGGGGAAACCCCAATCCACTGCTTGTCCGGTAAATGATGACTCCTCTGTTCTGTTGACTTTCTAGGTCCGCCAATTGACTTTGTGTCCATGTATGACGTCGGAATTGGTACCAACCTCGGCGAGGGTCGAGCTCGGCCTTGGTTTCGGTCTGATCTTGGTAATCTGTGAGTCGAATGTTGGGCCTACCTTGGGTGAGTTGAGGTCGGCATCGGCGAGTAGTGACTTGGTATTTCCGGAGACTTCTTTTGTCCGTGAATATTGATACCCTTGGGGTATACGGGAATTGAATATACTCCATCACATAGCTTTCTAGAATCCCACGTGTGTCCATTCTTTTTATCACGAGTATTGGCACCTTTTTCACTTTTACCTATCATATAGAGATTCCTCAATCACTGATGATGTCGGCTCACTTAATTATAAAAAGAAAAATTTTATGGTGCACCTGTTAGGAAATTGATGTAAGGTACCTGAAAACAACATCAACGCAAGTTTAAAATTTTAGCGAGATCTTTCCTGATTATGACAAAACAACGAATATAACAACAATAACATATCGAAGCTAGAAGTTATAGATTTTCCAGCGTAGCGGCGATAATCTTCGATCTTAGGTATCCAACGATAGTTCGAACATATTTTTAGAAATAATTTTAATAGTATATAATATAATGGGGTTAGTGTTGCTAACTTTAGTGTTATAAATGTATTATTTTTAATATTTAATGACTAATTTGACATTTAAGATTGTTAATCATTTCCTAAAATGGAAGTGGAACCCTTTTCATGGCACACTCCAGAAGGAAAGTGAGAACATTTTTATGAGACGGAGGGAATATTATTTATTTCATATTATTTTCCTTTTAATTCCAAATCGTAAAAGGAAATACTAACTTTATTAATAATAAATTCATCTTAATTAAGTATAATAATTTTAATTTATCACACTTAATTAATTCTATAAAAAAGAACTCTCCTTCAACATTATGAATGAAATATAGTTTAATCTAACTAATATTTAATCCATTTTCAGTATTACATACTACGTATGAAATATTATTTCATCCAATTAATATTTAATTCATTCTAAGAATTCAATGGCAAGGTATAATCACTTGTTGTGTGACCCATAGAGCATTATATATTAAGCACTAATCAAATGAAAGTTTTAAGGAATCCCTACACGATTCTCCAGACAAACTTAATATATAAGGACGTTTGCGAGGACTATTCAAACCCTTTGTAATATAGAACTCATAGTGAGGACTTTTCATTGAGCGAACATTCAACTAAATCTAGAATTTGATATTGTGTCTATTCCAATAACTACTTTGACTTTCAGTCTTTCTAGATGACCCATAATGATCATATTTGATATCCAAAATGAATATATCTTTGCATTGGTCAATGACTTTATGATTCTTCTAGCTATGAGAAGTAGAAAGATCTCTCTCTTTTTTAAATAAAGGATCGACTTTTTATATTAAAAACGAGACAAAATATAAGATAACATCCAGACAGTTATGACAGATCCGATTGTGAGCCACTGAGCCCTAAGAATAGACATAGAATCAGTCACTCATACAAAGCAACCTGATTCGCTAGACACGAAACGGGCAATTTAAAGCCTAAAACAATCGGGACTGAAATACTGTCTATCAAATGTACTTCAGAAGTCCAAATTTTCAAACCAAACCTACTTAAACTAAAATAAAAACAATTACTACTAATGGAAATATAAAATTGAAATAAAGTGATTCCATCAAACTCTTCATGCCACAAAGATGGTTCTGGAGGAGGACGAACTTTATCAATGTTATGCACTCTAAAAGAAGACAAACAGCTAGAAATCCCTGACAAGACGAAGCTAGCTGGCACACCAAAAGAACTCCCCACATCGAGAGACACAAACCACCCCGGAGCACCAGTGCCCAGGAAAGAACCGCCATAGCATAAAATCAACACAACCAAAAGAGAAGAACAATCCAAACTGATCATACCTCTACCATAAGTCTCCGAGCGATGTCACTGTCAGAATTGTCATGTGAGAGATACAAAAAAATATTGCTTGAAGATCTCTCTTAATCTATTATGAGGAATGAATTCTTTCTTGGCTCAACTACTACTTCATGTGATTTGGGATGCACCCAATGCATGTCGCGTCTACCCCGATTAAAGTGAAAGTGTTTGTCATGATCAAAGTACATTACTCTACACATGAAGTACATATTGACTTCAAGTAGGAAAACTATTACACTACTCGATATGCAAATAATTCCATAGACATGTGAATAGAACTTATAAAATGGTCACTTGGTGGTTATGCCAATATTCTCTAGAATATCTATGTGACCATCATGAATTACCTGAACTCGTAGTTGTGAGATCAACTATTTCCTAAAAGTATGATGCAGTCCACATACCAATCTTATCTCATATGATCAATATCCCTTTCTTGATAATCATTGATTGTGGCTATTTTAGGATTTTATGTTATATCACATAAGATCCCACTAATTTAGTGACAATATAAGTCCAAGGGCACAAAATTATGAAACTGGATGTGAACAAGAATATATATATTTATGAAAAATGATTGTCACTAGGACATATATACTAACAATCTCCCACTTGTCCTAGTGCCAATCACTGATGCGTCTAATACCTACCTAGACTCTCAAAAGTTTAGTGTGTTTCTCGTATCTCAAAGGTTCGGTGAAAGGCTCAACCAAATTGTCCTTTACGGGAACACATTCTATGCAACTTCTCCTCCTACTATTTGTTATCAAAACATGATAGCATAGATGTATTTTCTCGTTTCTTTCTTTGCATCTTCGTTCTTGAACTTGTGTAAAAGCACAAATATTATCACAATAACAATTATAGGATAATTGTCACTTGGAACTACCCCTATTTTTTTTATGAATTCGCGTATCTAAATGCTTACCTAAGTTGCATCAAATGCAACAATTCATTAGACTTTAGTCGACGAATTTATAATAGTCTCTTACTTACAACTCTTTCAGCACTAGTGTTTCATTGAGACTGAAAACATATAGTGACTATGACTCATAGTCTTCATTATCATCCAAGAAGCTAGTGTTACAATAACTAAGTTCTACTCGTTCTTTATCTCCACCATAGTCTAATGGTTATTCATGAAGATTTTGAATAATCATTCTTTCACGGACTTCAATGAGGGTATATTGTTCTCTATGATCAACATATATGACTATAAAGATCACGCTATCCTTAGCTTGTTGCGCACCCTAAACATGCAAGCATCATCATTTCTTCTGATGAAGTCAAACGATTTGACTATTTCATCATAATTGATATTTCAACTTCTAGAGGCTTTCTTTAGCCAACAGATGGATTTCTCCAATTTACATGTTGATTGAGAATTTGACTTTGATAGAAAACCTTCAGGTTATACCATGTACACCTTCTCCTTAAGGTTTTCATTAAGGAAAGTGTTTTGACATTCATTAAGGAAGGTTTTCCTTAAGGTTATACCATGTATACAACTATCACAAGCAAAATCTGAATAAACCTGAGTCTTACAACTCGGGAATATGTATCATTAGAGTCAATTCCTTATGTTTGACTATAACCTTTAATCACTATTCTAGCCTCCAGCATCAATTTTCTTCTTGAAAATCTATTTGCATGCAATGTGTCTAACCTTAATAGGAAGTCAACCAAGTTCAATACTTGATTGATATACATCGAGTCCATTTCAGATTCTGTGGCTTATCGTCATCTTTCTAAATCAATATCTAATATTGCTTCAGTGTAAGTCTTAGGTTCATACTTGTCACAAATCTCAATATTGACTTCACTCAGAAACGTGAAGAATGTTATTCTCCTCAAAAAATCTATCAAACCTAGGGTAACATACCCTTGCTTCTTCCCCATTCTCTACAAGCGGAGATTAATCATTATGACCAAATGCACTCCCGAAAATAGAAGTTATAGAAGTTGGAAAAAAGTTAAAGAGGTATTTACCTAAATAGGAGAAAATCAATCTTTATTTGCCAAAATAGGACCAAAGTTTAAAACTTCCCTAAATAGGAGTTATTATTTGTAATTGGACACAAAAACCCTTGAAGCTTGGAGGTATACTGCCGCTGCTCAGAAAACCGGACCACCTCCATTCGCTGCCGATCGCCGCCAGTGTCCGCCGGTTGCCGCCGGTCGCCGGACACTGCCGTCGTCTCAAAAACTGGCCGTCGTTGCAGATCGGGCCATCACCGTTGCAGATTGGGCCATCGCCGATGCAGATCTGGCGGGCGTCGCCGGAGATCTGGCCAGATCTAGCCGTCGCCGGCCGTCAATCGTTGCCCCGAAATATCCAGCCACCGTCACAACTAATCCGGCATCTGCCGCTGCAACTCTAACCTCCTCATATGCAGATCTGGTCTCTACCAACGTGAATGCCAAGTTTTTTATCAGAATGCCATTTTAATGGCATTTTTACAGGAAAATACAACATTTTTGAAGACTTAGAATGCCATTTTGATGGCATTTTCAGATTTTAATATGGCATTTTGTAACAATCAAAGAAGAAACGGAGCATGGGGGGAGAGAACTAGAGAAGAAGAGGAGAAAGAACGAGGAAACCAACCAGAGAAGATAAGCCAATCCATGGAGAAGAAAATTCGTTCTCCGACAGCGGCGGCGGCGGACTTCGTGGCGGCTGCTATGGCTATGGCTTCTGAGTTGTTGTTACTGTGTGAAGGGGAAAGAGAGGGAGTGATGCGCATGGAGTTGACGATTGATGATGCGCAGGAAGAATGATGCGATGATGTAGGTGTGGAGAATTAAAGAGGAAGAAAAATAAGGGTAAATGGGTAATTTGGTTTTATTTGGAGAATAAAATTAGGGGTTATGTCTAAAATATTACTAAAAAACTGGTTGTGGACAAAAAAGTGAACTTTTTCCTCAAATTCCAAAAATGAGACTAAAAAGAGTGTAGGAGACTACTTTACCCCTATTAGTGCTACAGTAACGTCACAGTGACCAATATCACCACAGTGACCAAAAATCATTAGTGACTAAAAATCCAAAATTCACCAGTGACCAAAAATCGTTAGTGACTAAAAAATCCAAAATTCACCAGTGACCAAAATCGTTAGTGACTAAAAAACCAAAATGCACCAGTGACAGAAAATCATTAGTGACCAAGAATCATTAGTTACCAAAAATTTCACCCAATAACACATTGATTCCGCCCGATTAGTACCAATCATCCGTTTGTCTATTGACCAATATCCACCCTTCTCGTTAGTCACGTGAACTAGCCAATCACAATTACTCAACTCTACTACTTTTATTTATCCAATTTTACCATTATCCAATTTTACCAGTTACAGTTACTCAACTCAACTACTTTTATTTATCCATTTTTTCCCCGATGGCCTACAATCCCAGTGATTAGCCCGTTCCAGTTACCACCGCTCTAGTGATGACGGTCTCAGTTACTACTGTTCCAGTGACTATCGTCCCAGTAATTACTGTTCCAGTGATCACCGTCCCAGTTACTACCGCTCCAGCAAGTCACTATCAATTCGCTAGTGACATTTACATGTCACCGACGCCTTCGCCATTGACCCGCCATCCAGTGACCTATTGACAATGAATTGTTGCCTCCAAATACACTCACCCTCGCCGCCTCAATAGTCACTATCATCAATAGTGATTTCGGTGACCACCACTGACCGTCACTGACCGTCACCGCCCCAATATGGGCAGATGCCGCCAGCTCCACCACCACACGCACAGCCCTGCCCCACCACCGTCACAACAGCCCTGCCCTGCCTCCATCACCCTAGCTCTGCTGCCCTGCTACCCATCAGCCTAGCCATGCCACTCCTCTACAAGCCCTGCCCCATCCCCATCAGCCCAACCTGCCACAGCCTCGACCCCCAGCCTCAGCCCCCAACCCTCAACCGCCATTCCACCACCACCGCCCGTAACCCTAGCCGCCAGCCCATCACCGTCCCCCTGGGACCGAAATCGCACGTCATTGAAACGCTAGCCCACCGGATCGTCATCTCAATAGCATATCAAAAGAAAATATCAATCTCAAAAGCAGAGAAGTATCTTTGGTGATGGAGGTGCGGCGGTCGAACAATCACGATGATGGAGGCGTTGCAGCGATGGGCGATGGTGGTTTGCCTATGTCTTGCGGCGATCGTGATTTGGCTATGGCTTGCGGCGATCGTGATTTGGCCATGGCTTGCGGCAAAGGAGGTGCGGCTCTGGCTTAGGGCGATGAAGGTGCGTTGCTGGAGAGGAAGATTTGAAAACGAAGGAATTGACGGACAACTGGGAGAATGAATTAAGGATAGGGTAATTAAGGGTATTTCGGTCCAGTTTGTAAAGTTAAATCTCCTTTTTGTCCAAATTGAGAACACGACTTATTTTTGTCTAATAGAAAGCCTCACGTATTATTTTGGTCATTTTTTCATAAAATTATACATAGTCTCATTTAGGAATTTCAAGAACAATTTAGTCCTATTTAGGAGGGCAATAAGTCAAAATTAAAAACTGAAAACTGAATGAGACTTTTCTACAAATATCTCCTAAACTTGAATGCAATAAAGAATTGAAAATGTCCGCCTAAAATATAAAGAATCCTATACAAAAACAATAAAAAATTCGAAAGATATTTAATTGTGTCAAATACTATCGTATATACGCCGTACTCCGTCGCATAAAAAATCATGTTTAAGATATTGTGGAAATGTAGAAGTGGCCAAGTGGGAGAGGCGTTTGGAGATGGATGATCTAAGGCCAGTCAAATATATAGCGCAACAATCGCCCCGTTAACTTCCTCGTTGTGAAGAGTGAAGATGAAGATCTGCCTCTTGCTGTCATGTTAACTTTGACAAATATCAGGTTGTTGGAGGATCACTATGCAGTTTTAGATTTTATTTAAAGAATAGCTGAAATGGAAATGTCAAATTTCAAGTTTTTTGTTCAAGCTACCAAAACACGATGTAATGTAAAGGCATGGAAGAGCTGCCCAATAATTAATTAATTCGGTTCTGGTAATAGAAATCAACGTTAAGCTGTAGACGTTTAGTGGCATGGCTTATTGGCTTGATGTTCCTTTATTCACCAAAGCGAACCTCTGTAATCAATCTCTTCCTGTTACCGGTGCTGGGAAAAAAGATCCTCAAATCGGTAGTTTTATTAAAAATAAGATAATTTGCCATAATTTTTTCTATCCTCCATATATTCTTGTTGGTTCAAGTTCCTTCAACCCGCTCTTCAATCAATCTGCACGGCACGTCGATCTGGCGATCAGTCTCACGATACATCATGGAGATTATCTTCAATGTTTGGCTAAAAGATGGGATAGGGGTGTCATATGCTCTTAATACGATCTCGAAACATAGTCACTCCACCTCAGTTGGGATTGGTTCTTCATAGCCTTTCTTTCATATTCCGTCTGGTTTTTGGTTCCAAGTTTGATCCGATTTAGAAGCTGGTTATACAAACATAACATTCCTTTCAAAAGCGACTTGTTTTTTGAAGGCTAATAATCTCATTTTGCAGCATTACATTTTCACTGGGCATTCATTTTTTGACCTTCTTTCCTGAACCTGCACTTTCTTTCCTTGCAGGAGTGAAGAAGGAAAGGGTTGGTGAAGATGGAAGGCCAATCAGAGAGATTTACTGTCAATTTTTTGATGGGAGGAGCAGCAGCCATCTTTGCAAAAACTGCTGCATCGCCATTAGAAAGAGTAAAGCTTTTGCTGCAAAATCAAGGGGAGTTGATTAGAACAGGACATTTAAAAAGACCTTACATGGGTATAGGTGACTGCTTCCATAGAGTTTTGAGAGAGGATGGTCTTCTGTCCTTCTGGAGGGGTAACCTGGCCAATGTCATTCGATACATCCCAACCCAGGTAACCCAAGTTGCAAACTAGTGTAAGAAAGCATCTCCTAAGTTGATTTGTTAAATGGTTCTTGAGGGACATTTTTTTGTAGATATTTTCAAGTGACATATCCATGAGACACTTATTATGTGGATTTCAATCTTCTGTTTGGGCGTAGTATTTTAAGGGAAATTGGGCTTTGCACCCTATGTTTTGTTTTATTTTATATTGGGCGCCACCGTACCCAAAAGTGGGATGTAAACTCAAATATTAATGTAATGATGGGGGTGAAAGTCTAAGAGAAATAACCCATTTTGGAGTGCTTTGGATTGAAAACTGAAAGGACCTTAAACTCTGAAACATGGGGTGCTAAGTCCAAAATTCCAAGTAAACATGCTCCAAAATTCCAAAATATTATTTGCCCATATTTTAATGGCTAGTGGGGGTAATAAGAATGTTATTTATGCACTTTGTCTATGTTTTATTTATATTTGGAGCAATTTCTTTTGACTGATAGACCAACCAAAACCAAACTGAACAAAACTGAAACTAAAACCAAACCTTATGCAGTTCCATTTACTGTTTGCTTGGACCAACCATAACTGATTTAACACGCCGAAACCTTCCTAAAATAATTACATCAATACCGACCGGAACTCATTTAAGTCACTCAATTCAGTCTTGGTTTTGCATCTTTTAAAACCTGAATGACCACAGTGAACGAACACAATTAATTCAACGAACATCCTTCTGCATGTGAATGTCAATGAAAAAATGTCTCTAGTAATATATGAATATCATGATGGTGGATTGAGTTTTAGGCTCTTTTTGGTGACCATAATTGGCTTATTGCGCTTATCTTCAAATAAGTATCTTTTCCATTCTTATTATGCTGAAATAGATTTTACCAAACAATTTCTCTATCAGAAAATGCAGCTGATTCAACAACTTTAGCATTAAGGAACTTACCAAACGGGCCCTTATTTACTTTGGAAATGGTTTTAACTTCAGTTTGTATTTAGACCTCGTAAATCTGTTGAAGCTAAAATACTTATAGCTGTAGTTTTTGATATCACATATCATGTTCTTTCATAGGCTAGCAATTTTGCATTCAAAGATTACTTCAAAAGCCTCTTTGGGTGTTCGAAAGATGAAGATGGGTATGCAAAGTGGTTTGCTGGAAATCTAGCCTCAGGAAGTGCTGCCGGAGCAACCACGTCATTATTTTTTTATCACTTAGACTATGCACGAACTCGGCTCGCTATGGATGCTAGGGAATGCCTCATTAATGGAAGACGCCAATATAAGGGACTGATAGATGTTTATGGCAAAACATTATCAAGTGATGGCATCATTGGGCTCTACCGGGGATTTGGTGTTTCAATAATAGGTATAACTTTGTATCGAGGAATGTACTTTGGAATCTACGACTCCCTGAAACCGGTTGTTTTATTTGGACCCTTACAGGTGAGAACCTCTCATAGTTCTTGGAACATATGTTTGCTGGATTAGTATGTCATCCATTTTTTTGTGCTAGCTAATTGGCCATCATGCAGCTTGGTGGTGGATTGTTGTTTGGAATGTGATAGGTTTTATATGCTAAATGACCATGAAGAATACACAATTTATCAGACATCCTCTCTTTCGGAAAATAAAAACACATTAACGTGCTGTTTGAATTATGGGAGAAAACAATCCACTTCTTACTTGAATCCTAAAAAAAATCAACCCCTTGATTTGGATGTTACACCTTTTTGTCCTAGGAGAATTTCTACTTCAACTATAAGGAGTGCATTGTCATATGAATTTAGCAGTATTATTTTCTCTTCACCGGGAGGTATGAAAATGATTGTCTAGTCGGACAATGTCCTTGTGGAAATCGAGTATTCCTTCTTTCATCTTCTTAATATATGCTCATTATGGTCTTTCAAACTTTCAAAGGTCATTCCCTTATCATTTCAAACCAAACCGAACATTATAATAAGTATTCCTGAGGATTTTGTTCCTGCAATTCAACCAATTAACTATAAACTCCTTGTATATTCTTTTGGTAAGGAATAACTACTCATTGCTGTTAGAAAAGAATCACTAGCTAATAGAGAGGGATATTATTCTAGTTCTGATTCTAAAAAAGAATTACGTTGAGAACCAATACTGAACACCCCCTGACCTTCTTCTACTGCGGAAACAAGTCAAACAACACAAGTACCAATATCATTCTCTCTCTTTACCATTTATTTGATATTGCATTTGCAGGACAATTTCTTTGCAAATTTCATGTTAGGCTGGAGCGTGACTACTATTTCTGGGATCTGTGCCTATCCTTTTGACACACTGAGGAGAAGAATGATGCTAACTTCTGGACACAAATTGAAGTACCATAACTCCTTTCATGCCGTAAAAGAAATCATTCACCATGAAGGGGTTTCCGCACTTTTCCGTGGAGTTAGAGCAAACATTCTCTATGGTGTTGCAGGTGCTGGAGTGCTTGTAGGATATGACCAGCTACACCGAATTGTATATAGTACTCATTAGAACTTTAAATCTTCTCACAGAGCCTTGTGTTAAATTATATTTCAATATTGGCCAACCTCTTATAAAGAAACAATGATTTGTGACCCATTGATGTGAAGCAAGGAGAAATAAATGGGAAACCCCAAATTTAGGGTGACAGTTTTGTAGCATCATGAAATTCGTTACTTCTGAAGGAAGGAGACTTGTTTTTGCTAAGGATGGAGCAAGAGAGATACGCTTTTGTTGAAAGTGTTGTTTCAGTTTCCTATACAGCTCATCAAAATTAATGAGCCCGTTTGGCAAAGGTGATTTGGCTAAAACGGTTGAATCTCTTGAGTTTTCTGTTTAGTAACATCAATTTCAGCCAATTAAGTCAAAAACTACTTATTACTACTACTACTACTGCTGCTTCTACTAATACTACTACTATTACTATTTTTAGCTGGCTAAGGCTACCATAGGGGCTCTACTATATATACTTACAAGTTACAAGCTTGCTACTTTTCTTTCCATAGTAATAGGTTATATGTGAATAATAGCAACCAAGTGTATGTGTTGATCCATTTGTTGTATGGGACAAATTTGGCTCTGCTTTTTTTTTCTGGAAGCTTCAATATGTAGAAAACGTTTGTTACAATTTGTACATTCATGAATCTATTCTAGTTTTTCATGACAATTGAAGCTTGTTACATGTTTTGCAAACAGTGTAACTGTATTTCTCTCCAATGCAATCCAGAATTGAGATGCTGGGGAAAGTGAGTTTATGGAACTGCTTTTTTAAATTCTAAGCTAGCAGCCAGAAGTCCTTGTGAGACTTTGTAGTAATCAAGTACCCTCCATATTTCGTGCTTTTCCTCCTAACTGCTACTGTCATACAACTTGTATTTTGAATGCAGTAATTCACAACCTTAGGATTGACTCTTTTCCCTGACCACATGGAATGCAGGCGCCACATTGTTGACCTTTTTCTTTGACCCAAGACCAGGAGAGAGACCTTTTGTTGCTTTGCTGCTTCAACAATCACTTGCTCTTTTTCTTTTCCTTCTTGCAATAATATCTCCACTTTTACCTATTTCATGATTTCATACAATTTAGCACCTTATATTTGCATAAATCTTTAGTGATGATGCATTTCCTAGTTTTCTTTCTGATTTACAACATGCACAAGGAGAAAGGAATGAAGCTGTATTAAACTGAATTGTCTCTATTCTAGGAAGCCAAGAAATGTATAGGTGAGTGAATATGAGTAGGTAAATTATAAGATCGAAATGGTAAGTTAATAGACGTGTTATTTTGAAAATGTAAAGCAACAAGTATGCATAAGTGTTTTTGTGTGTGGCTAAAACGTGAAATGTGAAGCGGAGGGAGTATAGTTTTGGCAATATAGAAAGAGACTAAATACGTACCCCCGGTCTTCTTGTCTGACACATGTTTTTCATCGAGGAAATAAGTTGATATGGTCTCTGATTGGATTCGTTGCTGGTATTTCCACCTGTTCAGTTAATAAATAAGAAATATAAGCTACAGCATCTATGTTATGTTACTACATCATCTCATCCTTTTAGGACAATTTCCATGAAAGTGAAAAAACCGTCAAAAGAATGTTGTGACAAGAAACCGTCATATAACTTTGCAGTATGTTTTCCTTGCATGACGTTTAGGTGTTAACTAATCTATAAATATAGGAGATCACACTTTTAAGTTTTGTCCCCTTGTAAAATTTAGATACACTTTTAGTCCCTTAAAGTTCTGGTTATGCCCACATTCTATGCTGCTGAGAAAACCTTAATACCGAACATTTGTTTTGCAATAATCTACAAAAACTAAATGGCAGCAAACCTCAAGATATATAATACAGAGTATCAAACAACCAAGGACTAAGCAGCAACTATTCTTTTAGATATTCAATTGACACTATTGAGACAAACATTGTTGGGATTAAGGTGATGGGTAATCTGTGTTTCACAAGGATAGAGGAAGAAGATGGACTCACCTTGTTTTGATGGCTTGGTGACGTGAAGGAGTATGACGGTGTCCTGGCTTTGAACAGTGTGGGAAAGCGCCCATTGCAGGGCATGTTTGGCTTCAAGGCTATGATCAACCACAACCATGACTCGGTTAGTCCTGCATTCAGATTCATGTTTTGTCATCCCTTCATCACTGTTGAAGCTGCTCATCTCAGTGCTACTGCTGCTGCTTTTACTGGAAAACTCGCCTCTCTCATACGACCGTATCAGGCTGCCCGACTTCTTGTATGTGTGAATGGGCGATCGAGCACAGACGTGGGCCACAGCACGGCGGCTCACGCAGAACCCCTCGCGCATCTTCGCGTGTAAACGCATAATCTTTGTCGCCATCTCTATCCTTAGCTTTTGATTGCTGAACTAACTTTGTGTTTGTTTCTGTGTCTGAGTGTATCTGTCTTAGCTTCGCTTAAATATATGGTCTACTATATATATGCTCGAGATTTGGTGTGAATGAGAATTGAGATGTTATAGAGGTCATGCAAAGTCACCATCTTGGAATCTGTTTGTTTATTGGATTTTCTTAGTGATGGGACTTTGGTAGTTGTCGTGCCTACCATGAAGCTGCAAGAGACTCTCACGTCTACTAGTCAAATGAATTAAATGTCTCTTGAGATTAAATATGTTCCTATTTATTGATTTTGACAAAGTTTAAGGTCAGCTCTTACAAGCAATACCGTGAATAGTTTTGACTTGAGTTATTATCAAGTATATAATAATATAATATAATATAATATAATTACATACAAGCCATTCATTATGATAATGTCTCTTTTTCTCATTTAGGATTTTTTTTATAATTGACGAAGAGTATTTTATAATTGTCCAAGTCTGGTCTGGTCTGGTCTAATTTGGAAGTTGTTCTCTTCGTCTGATCTGAATGTTTCTGATTTTAATTGTTTACGGTTTGATTTGATATGAATTTTTCTGATTTGATCTGATCTGAATCTTTCTGATCTGATGTGATCTGAATATTTTTGATCTGGTCTGGTCTGATCTGAATCTTTATGTTTTTTTTTGTGAATTTTTCATTTTCCATGGTTAACTCACTCACTGATATTTAAACCTAGTATAATTACTTTTGTATCCGAGATTCTTGGATCCACTTATTCTATAGACAGATCACCTAAAATTCATCTCAACCAAATTGCGAAATTTGTGGTGATTCATAACTCAAAACATCAGATATCTGATCTTAACATCAAAGCGTCACAACTCTTCAAAATTGATGCTAGCTATATATTGAAGCTACCATGCATCTTCCTTGTCGTTTTTATACTGGAATAAACTGGATATATATGAAAGTTGTTTTTTCTCCATCAAGAAACATCCTCATTTTTATAATGTACACTGTTATCGATGTAAGCATTTACTTGATTGACAATGTGTATTACATCTTGTTAAACTGAGTGATCTAAGGCTTTAATGAAGCAACTTTCAGGATAGTTAGTTTTCTATTAATTTTTTTCCTATGACAATGGAGTTAAGATAGCTAATTCTATCATTCATAATGTAATTAGTTTATTGTGTAGAATATTGAAAACCAAATGAATCTTATCCGAGGGGTTATTGCGGGAATAACTAGAGAGAAGTCAGAGTAAATAGGAGGAGAGAGAGTCGATTTTATTAAATGAACTCAGCGTGTGGAGTTGAGATGTAGATGTCCATTACAAGGAGAAATGGGCTGCTATTTATAGCAGCAATAAATGCGATGAGAGTACACGTGTCAGTAATCCAACGGCCGAAGGGTCACATCAGCCGGGTGGCACCGGCAGTGGTACGTTCACCGCATTGAATGCGGTTGGCGGATGTGACGTGGCATTAAATGCGGTGGTTGGTTGTCTCCAAAAGGAATCTTCGATGATTGAGCATGTTTGGCCGAAGGCTTCTTGTGTAGCCGAGGGCTCCGTGTAACCAAGGATCCCTGTGTAGCCGAAGGCCCTGTGTGACCGGAGGCATGGTTAAGCCGGGGGCTTCTCTGATGCCGAGGGCTCGATAATGCCGAAGGCTCATGTTTTTCGCCGTTTTCTCCCAGTAGCCTCTTATGCCAGAGAAGGCTACCCTGTGAGGTTTGGAGCCTTCGGTCAAGGAGGCCGAAGGCACCCCCAGTGCGTATTCTGGGCTACGTTGAGGCTTGGGCCGCTGCATTTTGGGCCTGAGTTGTTCCCTGGGCCCAATGAACTTGTGCAGGAGAAGTAGGAGTCTATGGGCCGGGGGTTCCCGGGCCATATACTCCATCAGGAGTCCCTCACTCCTTTTGCCGAAAGGTACTTGAGGGAAAAGGAGTAGATGTGTTGATTCTTCTGGGGGCTTCATCATTTAGTTGGGCGCCCTTGTTTGAGAACTCGCCTTCTACTGATTGCCGAAGGCTCTCCTCAGTCCCCCACATGTCGAGGGTTTCCTGAGGAAGAGTATGGATGTGTTGCCCGTATGTGTTGTTATGAGGGCTGCTTCATTTCCGCAAGTGACTTGGTGAAAACTTGTGATATCCTGCCTCTGCCGAAGGGGTTCCACTTTGATGTTTGTCCGGAGGCTGCATGCGTCAATTGTAAATTGTTTGTATGAAGAAATTTTCGTTCTGTATGATTCCCGAGGGGTATACCCCAGTCCCCCACTCCTTTAGGCCGAAGGCAAGTTCGGGCTGAAGGAGTTATGATGTGTTGATGCGAACCCGAGGGGCGATAATACTGACAAGTCGGGGGCTTACGCTGCCGCAAGCTCGAAGGCGTTTGATGAAATTTGCTGGCAGAAGGGTGTGGTGATTGATAGCCGGAGGCTACCATTCGAGAGCACCCCAGTGTTGTCGAAATATAGTCGTTGTAATATAGCCGTTGGGAGAGGAGTTGACGTGGCGTGTAGTCGTTGGTTGAAGGCGGGCGGTGGCCATCCATTGGCTGAACCGGCGGCCCGTAATGATGGCCTTTTTAAATCGAAGCCCAGATTTCGAGGCTGGGAGCCTATAAATACCCCAAGCCCGAATTCATATTCCTTGTGCGATATTTGTGATAGCGAAGCTCTGCCCTTTTGTTTTCTAGAGAGAGAAAGCCCTGTTCGATCAAACCCCAAGTTTGGAGGTCAGTTCTTCACCCGTTCTTCGCTTTACTAGCATACTTCGCTTTTCTCCCTTA